TTTCAAAAAACTGAATAAATTACACAATAATACATCCGACACAAAATGCTAGATATAGCAAAAATTATAAAACATATTTTTTTGTTTTAATTTCAAGATTCATTAAACCCTGTAGTTTAAAAAAAAATATCATCTTCTGACAATTATTTCACGGTTCAAGCTTTACAGGGTTAATTCTTCATGGCATGGATAGATGGCATGTTTACATGATAGCATCACACAGCTGCTGCACAGCCATGATGGGAATTTCCTGTTCCACCACATCCTAAGGTGTTCTTTTGGATTGCGTTCTTGTGGCGTTGGAGGCCTTTTGAGTACACTGGACTCATTCTCATGTTCAAGAAAGCAGAGATGATCTGAGCTTTGTGACATGGAGCATTATCCTGCTGGAAGCAGCCGTCAGAAGATGGGTACACTGTCGTCCTAATGGGATGGACATGGTCAGTAAGAACAGTCAGGCAGGCTGTGGTTTGTAAATGATGCTCAGATATCACTAAGGGGCCCAAAATGTTCCAAGAAAGTACATGTCACACCATTACACCCCCACAGCAGCCTCAACTATTGATACAGGCGGGACTGATTCATGCTTTCATGTTTTTTATGCCAAATTCTTGTGCTACTATTTGAATGTTGCACTTATGAGACCAGGCAAAAATCTCCAATTTCCAGTCTTCTCTTGTCTGACTTTGGTGAGCCTGTGCAAACTGTGTCTTCAGTTTCCTGTTTTAAGCTGACAGAAGTAGCACTTGGATTTGTTCTTCTGCTGCTGTTCATCTGCTTCAAGGTTAAAAATATTGTGCGTTCTGAGACGCTCTTCTGCATTCATTGGTCGTAAGGAGTGGTTATTTGAGGCGCTGTTGCCTTCCTATCAGCTTGAAGCAGTCTGGCTTCTGATCTCCTCTGATCTTTGGCATTTTTGTCCAGAGAAATGCTGCTCACTCGTTTTCAGACCATTCTCCATAAACCCTAAAGATAACTGTTCAGGAAAATCTCAGAATAATAACAATTTCTGAAATACTGAGATTTCTGTATGGCATCATGAGCCATGTCACTTTTAAAGTCGCTTGAATCAGCTTTTCTCCCCATTCTGATGCTCAGTTTGAACTTCAGCAGGTCATCCTGACCATGTCTCCATTCCTAAATGCTTTGAGTTGATAAGTTGTGATTGATTAATTAGATCTTTTTATTTGTAAGCAGTTGAATAGGGGTACTTAGTGAAGCATATTTGTGGATCTGGATGGTGATATTCCCACACTGATGTTATTTTTGTGAAGAATATTTTGGCATGTTCACTGAATTATTTACCTGTTGTTTATTTCACGTCCAGTACCTCAGCTGCTTGTCTTCCTCTCAGTCTTCAACTGACAAGCTGGCTTTTGATGTTGGCCTGCAAGAGGACAAAGCAGGTATTTATTTGAATGATCAGTTAAAATAGTTTCTTTGTTAAGGTATTTGCGATGCTCCCACCCTATATTGTGTTTTACAATTATAATATTTTTTTAAATCAGCTGTCTGTGAACTGCTTGTTTCCCTTTGTGTTTATATTCTGTGTGTGGTTCAGGGGAGGCATGTTGGTGGACTGTCCACCCAGCATCCAGACAGAGGTCAGAGGGTGAGAAGGTGCGCGTAGGTGATGACCTCATACTTGTGAATGTGTCTTCAGAGAGATACTTGGTGAGTCAGAACAAAACTGAAGTTTTTCTTAATGGCAAAAAATATACTCTGAGTGAGCCTCCACTACGTTAAATATCAAGCACACTAACCTGGTTAAAAGTTCATTTTGTAGACAGTGAGGTAGCAGAAAAGGGTTGCACTTTAATATATTTTATGGTTAACAGCCATTTTATGGCTATGCACAGATATTTTTGGAATGACACCATGCTGTGGTCTCATCTGCTGGGATCAGGTTTGGTCTATCGGTGGTGGGCCAGGGGACATTGTAAGTAGTGTATGGGAAAGCATAATTGTGACAAGAGCGGTGACAAGGGAGCAGCGATCCATGCTAAAAACAATTCTAGTTGGCCGGCTAGTCTCCATTGGTCGCTTGCCAAGAGCTCCAGCCATGACTGCATTTAGTGTTTGTTAACTACTTGCCCCTCAACAAGACTGACAAGAGGTTGGAATCATAATCAGAAGGTTAGGCTGGTTAGCATGTGAACCTCTGAGTTATTTCACACAGTACCTGGCAAAAGTTGGATTTTCTCCTGTCTCTAATATTTTGTGTAGCTTAATGGCTTCAGATATAAAATAAAGACAAGTTGTATTTATTGTTGATGAGAATATATTTAATGCCATTTTGTTTTTTCCCAGCACCTTTCCTTTGGCACTGCATCTGACAACAAAAGCTTGAGTGACAGTCTGATTGTTAATGCAGCCTTCCAGCAGACCCTCTGGAGTGTTGCTCCCATCTGCTCTGGACGTGCCGTTGCTCAAGGCAAGTTTTGTTTCCTTTTGCTTTCTAAACATGTTGCAAAGTAGCTCCTTTCTCAATTTAGATAATCCACCTGATTCTTTTGCTCCCAAGAAATACAGCTCTTTCAGTTTCTGCACTGCAGATAATGTTAATATGTTGGTAATAAATAATACATCAAAGCTGTGTTTTAATAAATTGAGGGGACCAAATGCTAGTTCATAAAGATGCTATGGGCTTTTGAACTATTATTAATTGTGTGCAAAATATAAAGTTAGCTCAATGCTGATGCAGTTTAGATGGATTCCAGAGGTTTTCCACACGTATTCAATTTAAAGCTGTTACACTGAAATAACATAAAATGAATATGTACAGACTTTCAGCTTTAATTTTAACAAAAATATTGCCTTAACCATTTTCATACACAGGCTCAGAATTTCAGAGAGCAGATGTAATTCAACAAATTAAAACCATAATAAATCAAGTGTGTAATTTTAATACTTTCTCAAGTCTGAAACCATGGGGATGACAGAAGAATTGGATTTCTGTGTTGTTGTTGTTTTCAGGTTTTTTGCTAATTAAAAAAAAAAGAAAAAACAGTCTATATTTTAGACACTTTTTGTTTGTTAGTTGGTCTTGGTGCCTTTTTTTGCCCATGCATCACACTGGCTTCACAGAATTTTACAGAGGATATTGTATGTTTCTAATTATGAGCTTCTCCAGCTTTTTCATTCCCTTTTCCCCTCGTCATACTTCAGGTTGATCACTTATCCAAATAATGGTGGTCAAGCATTGCTCTAAATGTTTTTGGGTGTTTGTGGCAAATCTTTTTT